TTGGCACCTGAGCTAACAACTATTGCCAATCTTCTTCTTCTTCTTCTTTTTTTAATTCTTCTCCCCGAAGTCCCCCAGTACATAGTTGTATATTTTAGTTGTAGGTCCTTCTAGTTGTGGCATGTGGGATGCCGCCTCAGCACGGCCTGACAAGCGGTGCCATGTCCGTGCCTAGGATCCGAACCGGCGAAACCCTGGGCCGCCAAAGCGGAGAGCGTGAACTTAACCACTCGGCCATGGGGCTGACCCCAGAACATAATTTTAGAATAAAATGATGAAGAAATGAGAATTCAAAGGGGCTTTGGGATGATTCCTGCCAGTGGAATAGGAAAGAAAAAAAATTCAAAATAGCCCAAGAACATTATTTAGCGGTGAGGGACATCTCCAAAGAAATTGTTTTCCAAAGGAGTTCTTTTGATCTTGTTTGGTGAGGGCTCCCTGGGATGGCAAATTCTCTCAGATATAGTGGCTTTCTTGTAGATAGGACGAGGCAAGACACCTCTGCGCCTTGTGGCAGCAGATCCTAATCACAGAAGTTTCTAGCATGTTGATGTCCTTGGGGCTACAAGTTTGAAAAAAAATTATGTCGTTAGAGTTCCAGATTTTGTTTTTAATTTCTTTCCTTTCCTTCCTTCCTTCCTTTTTTTGTTTTTTGTTTTTTAACTTTTTTAGTTCCAGATTTTGCTGGAAGCCAAAGCAGCCCTGGTTTAAATCTGCTATAGAGATCAGATATTAAAATTGGGCCTTAGATGGATGTCTTCTTCTCGGATGAAACAGGCATCTCCTGGAGCCTTTGGCAGAAACTGATATGTAGGCATCAAGTCCTTCAAAGGAGTCCCCAACAGGATCTGCAGTGCATAAACCTGTCGGACTGAATCTATGTCCATTTCTCCATTTCCTCCATCAGGGTCCTGACCAATAAATCATCCCAATTATGCCCTCCTGACTCCAACTCCAGAAATCATCTAGGCCCTTCCTACTCTGAAAGTCAAAAACCTCTTCATTGTGGCTAACTTCACTGTTAGCCTCAAGTACTATTCATTGTCTGGTCTTTGAAGGGGAAGAAGGAAAATTCTAAGTTCTGCTGGTAGCCAGCATCCAAGATGGCCTCCAAATCAGTCCTCAATAATTCACACACTTGAGTGGTCCCCTCCCACATTGTTGTTTTTTTGTGATGAATAGCATGAAACAGAGGCAGTGGGGGAAATCAGCTACCACGTTGTGAAGTCACTCAGGCAGCCTATAGTTAAGGCCACACAATGAGGAACTGAAGTCTCCAGCAACAGCAGTGAAAAACCAAGACCTGAAAACAATGTGGTGAGTGAGGTTGCCAATGGATCCTCCCCGAGTTGATCCTTTAGCTGATTCTGCAGCCCTGGCTGACAGCTGGATTCCAATCTCGTGACGGACCCTGAGCCTGCAGCAATCTAGTTAAGCCACTCCCATATTCCTGAAGCTCAGAAGCTCTGTGAGATTATACACGTCTGTTACTATAAGGCACTACGTTTTGGGGTAATTTGTTATGCAGCAATAGATAACTAATGCACTTTCTGCTTTGTTTTTGGTTTTTGAGTGGAGATAGAGTCAGGAAGACATTTGCTATGTGGAGTGAGCACATGTCCCACGTGGAATGACAAATCAACCCTTCTCTATCTTGTGCCAGGCTCTGTTCTAGGTCCCGAGACCCCTAAATTTATTTGATAATAAGAAACCACAAGGGTGCTGGTTAAACGTACAGATTTCTAGGCTCCTTCCTTGGGTTTAGGGTGGGACCAAGGAATCAGTGTGTTTAACTACTATCCCAGATAATTCTTATCATCAGGCAAGTCTGAGAAACATGGCAGGAAAGGATTAAAAAATGAATGAGACATCGCCCTTCCTCAGGCAACAGTGCAAGATGGAAAGCTAAGTGGTACACAAAGGTGCATGTAAAGAGAGGCACCAAGTGATAAGGGAAGATGTGAAAAGCATTGAGGGGATCAAGGAACACTTCCTGGAAGAATGACACATGAGCAAGTTCTCAAACGTTGGTTAAGATCTCCTGGAGCGAGACGTGGAAAGAATCACAGAGTGACTATAAGAACTAGCATTTATCAGGTGTCTGCTAAGCACCAGGCATTGTGCAAGGACTTGAGCTGCCTTACCTGATTTAATCCTCACAGCAACCATATGCAGTAGGCGCTACTGTAATCCGTAATTTACAAATGGGAAAGCTCGGCTTTGGTTACCATACTGCCCAAGGTCACACAGCTAGAAAGGAGGCAGCTGATTCCATATGCCATGCTCTTAACCATTATTGCGCTCCATGTCCCAGAGGAGTTGAGGCTCAGAGATGTGAAAGGGTTGTGACATTTTTGCAAATGACAGGAGTTTTGTGCAAATGACAGGAGAAGGCATCCAATGAAGGATATGAGCCAGGGGAAGATACTGCATGAAGTGCTGGAACCTGGCAGTGACTTCCTCACTCATTTTGTAATGAGGAAATGGAGCCCCAGAAAGGTTACATGACTTGACTAAAGTCACACAGTTTGATAGTGGCAAAGTGGACTAAAGGTCCACATCCCGGGTAGCCCCCTTTCCATTAAGGACAATGGGAGGCCAAACTGGGATTGGCCTTGAACTAATCCTTGCTAAGGAGGTCTGAACTATTCTATAGCTCATTGTAACCATTTTAAGTGTACAATTCAATGACATTACGTGCATTCACGATGTTGTGCAACCATTATCACTATCCATTTCCAGAACTTTTTCATCATTCCAAACAGAGACTCTGCATCTATTAAACAATAACTCCCCATACCCCCTCACCGGGTACACCTCATTCTACTTTCTGACTCTATGAGTTTGCCTATTCTGGGTACCTCAAATATTCAGAATCGTATAATATTTGTCCTTTTATGTCTGGCTTATTTCACTTAATATGACATTTTCCAGATTCACCCATATTATAGCATGTATCGATACTTCATTCCTTGTTTCCCCTATTTTTTTATTGTGGTAAAATACACATAATATTACAGTCTTAACCATTTTTAAGTGTACAGTTCAGTGGTATTAAGTACATTCATATTGCTGTGCAACCATCACCACCATCCATTTCCAGAACTCTTTCCATTTTGCAGAACTGAAACTCTGCACCCATTGAACAGCAATCCCCCTTTCCCTTATCTTTCCAGTCCCTGGCAACCACCCTTCTACTTTCTGTCTCTATGATTCTGACAACCCTAGGTACCTCATTTAAGTGAAATTATACAGTATCTGTCTTTTTTGTGACTGGCTTATTTTACTTAGCACAATGTCATCAAGGTTCATCCATATTGTAGCATATGTCAGAATTTCCTTCCTTTTTAAGGCTGAATAATATTCCATTGTATGAATATAACACATTTTATTTATCCATTTATCTGTCAATGGATATTTGAGTTGCTTCCACCTTTTGGCTACTGTGAATAATGCTGCTGTGAACATGGGTGTACAAATATCTCTTTGAGATTCTGCTTTCAACTATTTTGGGTACATGCCCAGAAGTGAAATTCCTGGATCATATAGTAATTCTATTTTTTAATTTTTTGAGGAACTGCCATACTGCTTTCCACAGTGGCTGTATCATTTTGCATCCCTACTGACAGTGCAGGAGTTCCAATTTCTCCATATCCTCACCAACACTTGTTATACTTCATTACTTTTTGTTGTTGTTGAAGAAGATTGGCCCTGGGCTAACATCTCTTGCCAATCCTCCTCTTTTTGGTTGAGGCAGATTGTTTCTGAGCTAACATCCAGGCCAATCTTCCTCTATTTTGTATGTGGGACCCTGCCACAGCATGGCTTGATGAACAGTGTACATGTCTGCACCTGGGATCCAAACCACCCAACCCCAGGCCACTGAAGCAGAGTGAACAAACTTAACCACTACACCACCAGGCCAGCACTTCCATTCCTTTTTTTAAGGATAAGACATAGCCGAATGTACATACGCCACACAGTTTTAGAAATCCATTCATCAGTTGATGCACGCCTTTTGGCTATTGTGAATAATGCTGCTATGAACATCATTGTACAAATATCTGAATCCCTGCTTTCAATTTTTTTGAAGTAGAATTGCTGGATCATAGAGTAATTCTATATTTAACTCTTTGAGAAATCTACAGACTTTCGAAGGGCATCAGCTCTGTAAGTGAGCTCTGGTCACCCTGGCCTTCTTCTGAACAGATATCCGTCAGGGGGCACAGACGCCTTCCTCTCTCCGGCATCCACACTGGCCCCTGGCCCCTACTTCATTGCTTTCTGCAAAGCCATTCTCTGAGCCTCTTTTACACCGAGGTACAAGCGGCTGACAGGGAAGCTGGCCCTGGTGTGCAGTTGGGCTCGCCCGAGGGAACCAGGTTTGGGTCGGTCACAGCGCGTCCTGCGAGGGCGATGATATGGGCAGGAGGGGAGGCTCCTCGCTGTTCTTTGAAATCTCCGCAGCCAAGCGTGCCATATCCGCCCACTCTGGCGGTGGCCCTGGGGCTGCCCAGGTGAGCCGGTCGATTAGTCCCGCGCCCGGGGGCGGGCGAACCTGTGCGGGGTGGCTCTCTCCAGCGCGGAGTTCGCGCTGAGCCCGCGCCGAGCGCGAGCGCCCTGCTTCCCGCCCCGGCGGCCGTTCCGGAGCCTGAGCCCGGGGAACGCGCGCCGCCCGCCTGGCCCGGCTCCCTCTCAAGTGTCCTCGCTGCGAGCTACCGCCTCGGCGTCCCCGACACTCCAGGTCTCCAGCCGCGCCGCGTGCCCAGGCGACCCCGACGTGTCCCCACTTCGAGCCCGGACCCCGGTGCCCCCGGGAGCCTCGCTGTCGCGGCCCCAGCACGCCTCTCCAAGCCAGCCGCCCGTGCCGTGGGCGCCCCGAGGCCACCGGGGGCGGAGACAGCGGGTGCAGGGCGGGCCCGGGCCGGGGTGGCCTCGCCGTGGAGCCGCCGTTCCTCGGATCTGCAGCGGCGGAGCCAGCGCAACTCCCGCCCGAGCCAGGAGACAGCCCCGCGAAGGGAGGCGCGAGGGGACCTGTCCTCTTCCTGCGGGCCTCTAGGAGAAGCAGCTTGTGTCCCAGGGCCCGGAATAAAGAACCCCGGACCTGGTCTGCTGGGCGCCAGGATCCCGCAGGTACGGCGCGCGCCCTCCCGGGAGATGCTCGGTGGACCCCACGCGGCGCCGGCGGCCGCCGGGGTGCGGGGGCTTTGCAGCGCCGAGGGGGCTTTTCAAGAGCCTCGCACTCGTGCTCATTTCTTCGGGGCAGGCGGCCACCCCATCCTTTTGTCCTGAGGCGTAGCTCGGGGGCTCGGAGGAGAAAGTTGGGAGCAGGAGAGGGTTATCAGCAGGGGCTGCAAAGAGAGGCTTCCAGCGATCGGCAGGGTCTGGCCAGGGGGCGAGCGCTAAACAGCAGGGGCCCCAGAGGACGCTGGGTGGGCATGGGGTTCCTCTTTGAGAGGGAGAATAAAGTAGAGAAGCTCGCTGGACTTCTCCCCGAATCCTAAATCGTCTCACCCCTGTCCCCCAGGAAGTTTTTATTACTCTTTGTTTTTAAAACCTGACTTTGAGCCTTCCAGGTAGCATGCTTGTAGGGTACTCCTGCAGAGGTTGCATGCGTCTGAGGCACCCAGGACCTGCAAGGAGTGCGGACTGTCGTTCGGGTCCCGTCCCCCCTTGAGACTGCAGCGGTACCTGCCTGGGCTCCAAGCCCGGCCCCCTCTGACCGTTCAGCTCTGGGTTCTGCTTCTCACACCTGACAGGGGCAAAGGGCAGAGCCTGAGAGGGACTGACCCGATAGCTCAGAGGAAGGAAAAAATCTGAGAAAAACGGGAGTGAGGAGTTGGGAGAGAGAGGCAGGAATGGGGCTGAGCCTCATTGGGGTTGCAGAGGGACTTTAACCCTGACCCCCCAAAGGCAAGCTCCAGATGTCTCACCTTTGAGCAATGTGGAAAGCAGGCTTTCCTGGGGGGTCCTAGGTGTCTTCCTTGTGTCTCCCTTTCCCAGGAACCTCAGATTTTCCATCCTCCCCTTCCCTCTGTGGTTTTCCTGACATTTGTGGTGCTCTCCAGACCCCAGCTCTCCTCTTACATCCCAGCAACCTGGTGTGATGTTTTCAGGCTCTGGGAGTGTGAGGGCAGGGCATGGGGACTCTGGTTTTCTCTTGATTCATGGTCCTAAGCAGTGCAGCTGACCCCCCGTCCCACCCCCAGCCCCATTTTGTGGTCTAGTGGAGTCCTCTAGGTCAGGATTTCCCTCTCCTTCCTTGCAGCGGACTGAGGAGGCCTGAGCACTCAACAGCAATTCCTTGCAGTTCTAGGGTATAACACCCTCCCTCTCCAGGGAGCTCTGTGCTGTACAGACGTTATTGATCTCCTGCCTGGAGGATGTTGAAACTCTGAGTGTTTAAGCTATTTACCTCAGGACAGACAACCAGCCAAGGAAGGGTTTTGCTCCAAAGCCCCCTTTCCAGGCCACTTAGTGATTGGGTTGTGACTTTAACCCTGCAGCCTCTGCCTGGGGATAGTCCCTGGTAATCTCTGTGCCTGGCTTCTAAGGTCACAGCAGACTTGGATGGGGGAACAGGAAGCCCAGTGACGAGAGGGGAAGGCAGCTGCTAGATTGGCTCTGTGATTCTAGAAGAGCCCAGCTCATAGAGAGTGGTTAGGGTTGTCTGAGAGCTCTCCCTCTTCCATGGTATTCAGAATAATTTCTTTTAAGCCACACAATGAACAATTCCACAAGGACAAAACTCAGGCTGTTGGGACAGCGAATGGATTTTGGAGCAGGTCACTTTCGTTCTCTTCAGCCTCCCCACATTTCCAACTTTGGTTCCTGAGAAAAAGTGCAACATCTCAGTCTTCAGTGGACTGGAAATAAACTGAGCTAGGGCCTGATTGTCTCTATAGCAGTCCAGCCTTCCCTGAGTGAGTGGGTATGTGGTTTTATTCATTTTTGTTCTCTCACTGGTTCCTTTATTTCCACTCCATCACCCAATGTTCACTCTGAGCAGGTGGCTAATGTGTCTGCTTAGGTTCAGGATGGTTTTAAATTTGGCCAGGTTCACTCACATATGTAGCCAACTGTTTGTATGTCTTTTAAAGGCAAAGGAGCTCAGACACTGGACCCTAAGGATGCTGATAGGGACACTCTGACTCATTAAGGGAGAGCTGAGTGTCAGCAGAGAGGGGAGACATCAACCTCCCAGAGGAATTCCCAGCACTGTTGCTCACAGCACCACTTGGCCAGATGGAGATCACCATGGGGATCATGGATGAGAATGCCACCAACTCCTCCACCAACTTCCTTTCTGTGCTCGACCCGCATGGAGCCCAAGCTGCTTCGTTCCCCTTCAACTTCAGCTATGGCGACTATGATATGCCCTTGGATGAAGATGAGGATGTGACCAATTCCCGGACTTTCTTTGCTGCCAGGATCGTCATTGGCATGGCCCTGGTGGGCATCATGCTGGTCTGTGGCATTGGCAACTTCATCTTCATTGCTGCCTTGGCCCGCTACAAGAAGTTGCGCAACCTCACCAACCTGCTCATCGCCAACCTGGCCATCTCTGACTTCCTGGTGGCCATTGTCTGCTGCCCCTTTGAGATGGACTACTATGTGGTGCGCCAGCTCTCCTGGGAGCATGGCCATGTCCTGTGTGCCTCCATCAACTACCTACGCACTGTCTCTCTCTATGTCTCCACCAATGCCCTGCTGGCCATCGCCATCGACAGGTAAGTGAGGGAGCAGTGGGGACAACAAAGGAAGGGACACTGGTATTGCTCCTTCTTTTACCACAGGTGTGGATTGATGAGAAATATCTGTATTCCTCGTAGATGTGAATGCATGGGGACTCAAAAGTTGGCCCATTGACTAATAGTAAGAAAAGTTCTACTTTTCCAGTTGTGGGCAGGCAGAGGTAGCAGAGCCCCCTAGAGCTGATCATTGGGAAGGCTTTTGGTCCCTCTGCTATGGACATGCTCCGAGGTGTTGTATCTGTTCGAGGTCTAGAGGTAGACAGGTAAGAGGATGGGTGGGGGGACAAGTTTAAGGTCTAGGCAAGTACCTCTTGAGTCAACTTGGAAATCTTGATGGGGGTTTCTATCTCATCAAGACTTCGTCTACGAAAATCTGACACCCCCTTGACCTAGTTGATTTTAAAATAAGATTGACGGATTTATTTTGGAAAAAAAAGAGAGAAAAAAGGGCGTGTATGCTTACTTACTCTTTTTTGTCATTGCATTCATCAGTTTGGCCTGTTTTTAGTGATGGTAAATAAAACCAGAGTGGCCTATGGCCTCTGCAAATCTTTCTTAGGTTATGTTTAGTCTTTTCATTTAGTATAATCACTTGTCCTAAAGGGTCAGGTGGATTTTTCCCCCCAGGACAATCTTTGCAAGCTCCTCTGCGCAAAGTTGGACTTATTACAAAGCACTTTGTTACCGTCTGGAGACACCTACCTTGAGGGTCAAATCTGGGCGCAGTGTACTTGCTTCTGAACAGCGTGTCTCTCTTCCTTAACCCAGAGAGCCTGAAGCACAGATGCTCTCCCTGTTCCATGGCCTCAGGGCTCTGCTGGAGTTCAGCTGCCCCTCACAATCAGGACACCCCAGCACAGTGTTCCGGGGGGAGCACAGTGAGTAGGGCCTGCTTTCTGAAGCCACAGCCAGGATAAGATAACCTGGAAACAGAACACTACTGAGGAAAGGGGGTTGAGAAGGAGCCTGGCTTTCAAACCCCTGAGGGGTGGAGCCTCCTCTTCCGTTCCCCAGGGAAGGGTATCAGGGAGTTAGCCACTTACACAGCCCTTGGCCTGTCACCCGTAGAAAGTGCTCAGAGATGTCATGCCTGCAGAGGGCCACTTTTCCTTGACCAAGGTCCTCCTCAGGAGTCATAAAGCCCCATGGCGTTTTGTCCACTCAGGAATAGTCCCTGTGTGAATACAGAAGGAGCAGGAGGGGGCAGTCAAGCAGAGCATCTACCCACTAAGTCCTCTTCAGAGGTGTCAAGGAAGAACCCCAGGGACCTTGTCTCTGACCTTTTCTGAAAGTAGAAGCTGCCATCATCTCTCTTAGCGCAGAAACAGGACAAAGCATCCAGGATCACTTCCTTAAGTTTCACTCTAGCAAGACGTCTTTTCACAGGACATGCTCCCAGCCCCTGAAAGTGGCTAGGTAGGTGCCTGCTATGGGGTGGGACTGAGGTCCATTTTACCATGTAGGGGCCCCCTTGTCGAAAGGGGTCATACCTGCAGTAGGGAGTGGCTTCAAGGCGGATGGAGCCAGGATAAATTAAGGGGCACTGGGTTATTTTGAACATGTAAGAGTTAATATCTGTGTCAATCAATCCATCTCGATCTGCTGAGCTCCTTCAAGCTCCTATCCTGCTTTCATACCAAATTCAGCTTGTCTGAAATACCACAAGCATCTCTCTTGCAGGGGGAGTTTATATAAAGCAATTCGAATACAACGAGAAAGATTAGTTGGGGAACATGCTTTGCCTCATGGGGCTGCTATTGTTTACAGTAGGGTCGTGGCTGGGAACTTGCACCCAGGTACCGGAGCAAAGCGCTGTCGACGACACAGGGCTCCCATGGCTTGGCCAGCTAATGGCTGCTCCGATGCGTTAAGCTCCTTTATTGATGTTTGTGATCTTTGCTTCAGATTTTTTTATTGTTATGTGTTTTCACCACCTAATTTCAATCTTGTGGCCTAGGGCCTCATTGATTCTTGTCTGGTCTTGTGTGTTGTTCAAGATTTGATCAGTGATTTTCAGATTTGATTTGGTTAGTTTCAGGCAACTAACTTTTATCTTGATATAAGAAATACAGCTGCAGTTATAAACCTACTTTTGTTTTTGTTTAATGAAATTTCTGTAGGAATGGTGTTAGTGGCTATTCTGCCTGGCTTTACTTCCCGCTGCATCACCTCTTAGCTGTGGGCTTTGTTAGTTGTTTGACCTCTCCTGCCTCAGTTTTCTTGTGTGTACAATGGGAATAATAAGAAAACCTAATGTATTGGGTTGCTTTGAGGATTAAATGAAACACTATATGTAATTGTTTAGAACAATGCTTAAAACAGAGTAAGCACTAAATAAACGGTGGATATTATAATTCTTGAATTAACCCTTACAGGAACAACAACAAACCCCAGAAAAACTAATGAATATTTCTGATTGACTAACCTCTTTGTTTTCATCGAAGTGATTGTTTTTACGATGTGATTTAAAAGAAAAAATACAAGGTTTCTAAGAGACACAGCCATCAAGATATACAACAGAACTACTTATCTTCTACCTGCCTGGACTTCTCTGTTTCTGTTATGGGCTCCATGGTGCTCCCAGGCATCTAAGCTCTCAAGTCTCCTCCGTCCTGGCTGCTCTCTCCTTTCTCCAGCGTTCATTCAATTTCCAGGTCCTGGCAATGCTCCTCCCTCCCCCGAACTGTTCACTCAGGGCTGGACTATCACAATCTCCTCTGGGTCTTCTTGCCTTCATTGTCTCTTGGTTCTGTCCCTCTGCCAACCCTACTCCCCTAGCATTCATCCTAAACATTGATTCATTCATTCATTCAAACAATGCATTTTTATAGAGCAACTACAATGTGACAGATACTAGTGCAAGCACTAGGGATAATGGTGAATAAGGAACAAAAGCTCCTTGCCTTCGTGGAGCTTATACCCACGGGATGTACAGAGCCAGCAGTCAGGCAAACTGACAAGAAAAGTAATTGCAGGGTGTGAGAAATGCTCAGAAAAAAACAAACGCACGAAAACCACGAGAGTGACTGAGGGTGGACAATGCTAGGTGTGTGGTCAGGAAAAGTGTCTCTGTGGAGAAGACATTTGAATTGACCGCTTGAAGGATGGGAAAAAATAAAACAAAAGCTGGCCCTGTGAAGACTGGGGAAAAGCATTCCAGACAAAGGGAGTTATAGGGTCAAAGGCTCTGAGGCGGGAACAAACCCAAAAGATTCTAGGAACAGAGAGAAGGACCCTGTGGCCTGAGGGAAGAAAGCAAGACTGCAGCCTGTTTAATCTTCTGTCTTGTACATGTCTCCCCTCTCTTTCTCACACAACCTCTAATAACTCCATTGTCTACAAAACATGGCTCAACCCCCTTTGCCTGCTCTTCCAGCCTTTTAATATCGAGCCCCTGCTGCCTCCCAGTCTCCTGCTGGGTTGGGTAAACACACCTATGTCCTGTTTTCCAAACAAGGTTGCACTCTTTTTGAGAACTGTCACCATGGTTCATTAGATTTCTATTCATTCAGTGCTGAGGGTGAAGTTTTACTAAAATCCTAGGTTCCCTGAATCCCAGGTGCCCAGAATTCACAGACAGCAAAAGGTTATAAAAGAAGTAAGACTTGATCCCTGCTCTCGGGGAGCTTAGCATCTAGTGAGCGGGTGGGAGAGGGAGAACTAAGTTTATGAGAAAGTTTGAGGATAACATAAAGGATAATTTTAAATGAAATTCAGAAAGGGTGACATCCTCGTATACCTGAGAAGTCAAAGGAGGCTTCATGGAGGAGATGGACTCTCAACTGGCCTTCAACCAATGAATGGTCAGCAAAGAAGAGGAAAGATTTTCTAAGAGGGCAGAATGGTGTTTGCAAAAGCCAAGAGGTGGGACTGCTTGAGGTATGAGGTCCTCTGGAAAGGTATGTGGGACGGAGCGAGGAACATAAGCAGAGTAGAGATCAGAAAGGATACGGTCATATTCCAGAAGATCTCAAAATCTAGGCACACAGATCAGACCTGATGGCAGCAGGGAACTGAAAAAGATCATCAGAAGACTCTGCCCCCCCCAGATCTGGGTTTTCTCTTTGATGTGGACACACCTACACCATCCTTGAGGTATCCCTCAGGTCCCAGGGCACCTGGGGCACTGGGGACTCCCCTTCTTTCACCCAGAATCCAGGGGAAACTGTCCAGTGTGCCTGCCCTTTGGAAGCTCTCTACTTGGGTCTGGATGAGGCCAGCTAAGGCATAGCTGCACTCAGCCTTCAGAAGCACCAGTGCTCCCCGGTGAGCTTATTGGTCAGCGGTTATGTATTCCCTGCCCATCCCATGACCAGCCTAGGAGCTGCTATGACTACTATTTCCACGGTCTGATCTGGGGCTGGGTCCTGGGGACAGAGAGGGAGGCCAAAGGCTCTTTGCTTAACTACTCAGCCCACTATCATCATACAGTTACTGTCTGGACGTTGCTTTGTCCAGCAGCCTTTATTCTCTGTTCTCTGGGAGATGTTGGCTCTAAGTGGATGTGGACCTGAGCCATTGTAGTGATAGATGCACAGGGCAAGCCAAGGCATACTCATTAGCAGAGAAAAGGAGCTGCCAGTTGCCCAACTCCTTCTTGGAACATCAATAGGCAGAAACCAACCGTGATGGAGAGAAAAGAGAAGAAGAGTTGCCAGGATGACAGGAGGGCAGAAGGAAGGGTACTGCTTGCTCTGGTTGGGAAGGGAGGGGGCAAGTGATGTATTGGAGAGGCCACTGGATTTGGAGCAAGGTGGGAGTCTGTGTCACGGTCTTGTCAATTTCTAGCCATGTGGCTTTTGGCAGATTATTTAACTTCTCTGAACCTCAATTTGCTCATCTTGTAAAATGGGCATCTTGGCTCTCTTACCTATTCAGTAGAGTTGGGGTTATCTAATGAGAGAGTGGATTTGAAAATGCTCTGAAAACTGTAAGCTGCTTTACAAACATAAGCAAATATTGCTAATACTAAAGTTCTGGAGTTCTGGTCCTAACGTAGCTAAGGCTGTGGCAATCCTTGAAATGGTTTTCTGCCGTTAGCCTATTCATAAATGTATTTGGAAGGCCACTTTCACAGCTCCTTGTGCTAACCCTGGGGATGGAGTTAGGTGATGTCAAACAGCCAGGTGGAAATAACTGTCTGATTGGTAGTCACAGATTACCCTGAAGATTAGTTTTGTTGTAAAGATTAATAGATCCAGTAAAATAGAAAGTACTAAAGAATTTGCAAATGCAGTATTTGCCAATAACAGGTAAAAGAAAATTGCTGTGTATACAGAATAGCTCTGAAGAAATACATTTTAGGATACTAACAGTTTCTCGTATATTAATAGCTTATTGTTGTTTATGTGCAGTATCTCATTGGAGCCTCACAGTATTGCTGTGAGGTTGGCGAGGCAGGTGATATTCCCATGTTATAGATGAGGAAACTGAGCCCACAGGGCGAGGAAAAATGACTCAAATTCATATAGCAAGTTTGTGGCAAAGCTGGGATTAGAGTCTTGGTCTTCTGACTCCTAGATCGGCATTCTCTCCTCCTTGTTCACTGAAAAAACACTCTAAGAAACATCATAAAGACTTCGGAAGTTACTATTGGGAAAAGAAGGAATAGAATTGTGTAGTGAAAATTCATATAGTAAACAAGTATGAATATAGAAATATTCTTTGACAGAGTAATCGGCAGAGCATGGTGGGGTAGATAGGGAGGGAGAGAGCTAGTGAAAGCAAAAGCACTAAACTCTTAGTTTTTATGTGAATCAGAGCAAGTTTGGTGCACTCATTACAGTGGGAGCACTCTGGTCTTTATGAAGGACCCATACACGTGTGTTGATGAAAGCATGGCCACCAACCTGCAGCATGCCACCCTTCAGCACTCAGGAGATTGGCAAGAGTGCCACAAACTGCCGCGGGTGGTGGAGGGTGTCAAGCAGCCAGCCAGGTGTCCAGAGGGAGGACCCAACCCACCCAACTTCATCTAACCTCTGGGAGCCAGAAAAGAGCAGGAGACTCACTCAGGTGAACTCTCCAGAAGATACTCAGTGGAGTTGGCTGCCTGTCTTGCGGGGGAAGGGACAGAAACGGCCAGAATACGCCCAGAAAAGAAATAAGAATGAACCTCCTCTTCCAATCAAAATCTCAAGAAAGATGACCTTAAAGGGATTGGTTTCAAAGGAAACAGAAATGGTCTGGCTTTCCTTCAGGCCCCTGTCACATTTGCACTTGGCCCTACCTGGGATAAGCTGTGGACACGTGAGAATGTGTTTTTTTCCAGCGCTGATTAGTCATTCCCTCCCACTTCACCTCCCATCTTTCTCCTTCTCTAGCTTCTACCCCCTGCCAGACGCAGAAAGTCTTCCAGGAAAACAGAGCTCGCTGCACAAGCATGTGCGCTCTCTGGAAAGGCGGCTTTCAAACCACACAAATGACTCACATCCCCCAGAAAGTGCTCTCTCTTCGCTCCTGGCCCACTGTGGTCACAGCAGTGTGGCTTTTTGGGAAAGAACAAAAGCAATATCTTATACTATCTGCTGCTTTGTGGTTAAAAAAAATATGTTCATGTATATTCTCAATTGATTTTCACATCAACCATGTGACATAGGGTTAAATGTTTTCTTCAAGGGTATATGATATGACCTTGTGTATGACCTTGAGAGAGTCACTCGTCTCTCACAGAGCTCCATTTTTCTACCTGGAAAATAAGATAAACGATCCCATGCTTTTCCTCCACCTTTGCATACAGAGCAATGTTTTCAAAAATGTGGAATGAAGACAAAACTTTGCCCACCACTTCCACTGGAGAGGGCAAATTCTCCCAATAACTCTTTGGAATTATTGGGCCCTTTTACCTCTAAACTGTGGGCTTATTAGGATGAATGGCCCTGAAAACAAGAAGGAACTGAGAATAGTGCCAGGCTAGAAACTGATGGGAGGCATTATTACTACAATTAATAATAATAGTTACCATGTATTGAGTATATACCATGTTTAAAACTGCGCCAAGAATTGTGTATACATGAGCACATTTAATCCTTAAAAACAATCAAAAACTTTTGCAGAGAAGAAAACTAAGATTCAGAGAGATTAAACAAAACTTGCCTGAGGTTGCAGTGCCTCGTAAGGGGTTGAGCTGGGGTTTGTATTCAAGTCCACCTTTCTTGGAAGCCCACATACCATTGCATTTTTCTTGCACACGTACCATTTGGTTGCACCTCGTAATGTTGCAAAAATAATATCATTATCCAGCACTTTCTCATCTCAGTGGTTGACTGTATTTGTGTTCTTGTCCTAGATATCTGGCCATTGTCCACCCGCTGAGACCCCGGATGAAGTATCAAACAGCCACTGGCTTGATTGTCTTAGTGTGGATGGTGTCCATCCTCATTGCCATCCCTTCAGCCTACTTCACAACTGAAACTGTCCTCATCATTGTCAAGAGCCAGGAGAAGATCTTCTGTGGCCAGATCTGGCCTGTGGACCAGCAGCTCTACTACAAGTCCTACTTCCTCTTCATCTTTGGCATCGAATTCGTGGGCCCTGTGGTCACCATGACTCTGTGCTATGCCAGGATCTCCCGGGAACTCTGGTTCAAGACGGTCCCTGGTTTCCAGACGGAGCAGATCCGGAAGCGGCTGCGATGCCGCAGGAAGACGGTCCTGGTGCTCATGTGCATCCTCACCGCCTATGTGGTGTGCTGGGCGCCATTCTATGGCTTCACCATTGTTCGCGACTTCTTCCCTATGGTGTTCGTCAAGGAGAAGCACTACCTCACGGCCTTCTACGTCGTTGAGTGTATCGCCATGAGCAACAGCATGATCAACACCGTGTGCTTCGTGACCGTCAAGAACAACACCATCAAATACTTCAAAAAGATTATGCTGCTCCACTGGAAGGCTTCTTACAATGGGAGTAAGTCCAGCGCGGACCTTGATCTCAAAACCACGGGAGTGCCTGCCACCGAAGAGGTGGACTGCATCAGACTGAAATAACCCAATGGACCTTTCAAAGTTTAAACACAGACGGGACCTTTGGGACACTAACCACTGTATTTAGCTACACATGATCAATTAAGAACTCTTGGTTTGCTGCAGAAGGCAGAGGAAATGGACCACTATGTGAACGCTGTGTGCAAGAAGCTCGAAATTTCTAAAACCGATGTGACTAGACACCATCACCAGTGGCCAACATTCATTGAACATCTAATTTGTGCAGAGTAGGCACTGGTGAAGCTTATATACGTTGACAACATTTAAATGTCAAGAAGAAATAGAGATTAAACCAAGAAAAATGTTGGTGCCCAGACATTCTGGAATAAGGGGGTTTCCAGAAGGGAGCCCAAGTCGGCAACTAGGACTGCAGTATACATGTGTGTAGGATGACGGTCTCTCTGGACCATTTCAGCCATCCATCAGACACTGCTGTAGCCCATCTCTAGGATTATTCTTAGGCTTGAATTGGCTCCTAACGTTTGCAGGGTTGGAACAAGAATACAAAACAAGTTCCTGGTTCTTTCTGCATCATTCTCTTCTCATCCCTCGTCCTGACCGTTCTTGTGAGGAACCTTACATGGGTGCACACAGACACCAGTATGCATGGCCAAGTTCTGCCCAAACCTTCTTCCTGTACATTGCCCTATGGCCACCCCTTAGACCTAGGGCTGTGCCCATACATGGTGAGACTCATTGTCAGGAGGATGGACGTGGGGAAGAAAGCACACAGACCCTGAAAGCCATTTGGACAGGGAATTATGGGGTTCTAGGTACCCGGAGCAAGTCAAGAAGGGGAAGCCTGGGCTCAGGATGGTTATGTCTTCTTGGCTCCATGGACTTCTTGCCCCAGGGTACAGATGGATGGCCTCTGAATGTATGTGGGGCTCAGGGCAGGGGCTCAGGTTCTCTGGGTCTAAGGGTGATATTGCTTCCACCTCAGTTACTCTAGCTTAGACCAATTAGGTTTTCCCTTAAGTCCTTCTCTTCCCTTGTGAAGCATGGAAGTTTTGAAAGTAGACACAACACCTCATGGATGTGGCTATCAGTCATTTTTCCATTCCACCAGCTTTCACCTTTATTGGTATGAGTTGAGGGGAAAATGTCTTTATCACTGGTGCCTGAGTCCCATCATAGTTCATTATTCCTCTGGATTAAGACTTGATTCTCTCTTAAAATGGAGGTGCTCTTGGGAGGGATAACCCGTCACATTTCTATTTCTTAGTGTGAATGAAGTTATGCAATCCAGCAGCAAGTGATGAATTTTGGTGGTAGAGCCCTGGGCACCCAGAAAAGAAAATGACATGCAAACTGGGGTGGGCGGCAACAATGAGATTCTGTGACTCTACAGGCTTATGGAGAGCTCGTCCCACTTTCTAATCCACCTCCTTTGTTTGGTGTTTTGGATTTTGGAATTTGGAATTTTGGAACCAGAAGATCTGATCCAGCTTTGGCTCTGTCACTCCTGTGGCCCTGGGTAAAGCCTCTTGGAAGGGTCGAGGACAATACCTGTGGTAGCTGCTGATGAGGTGGTTGTAAAGAGCCAGTGAGATAATATGTGGGAAAGTTCAACCACACAGGTAATCAGAAAAATAGACTAATAACTGTGCGTAATGTGCCTGGACAAGGAAAAACTTGTTACTCTGGCTATGTATCCAGGAACCTCACCCTCTCTCCCTTTCATTATTCTTTGCGTGAATTCTTCCCTTGCCTCTGAGCAGTGTTATATATACATTATGTTCCTAATGACATGTTGGTACAAGGCAGTGACAGTTGGTGGCAGAAGCGTAAAAGGAAATGGTAGATTGGTCTCCAGTCAGGCGATGAGCTCAGGGTTTTAGAAACTTTGGAATCAGAGCATCTTTGTGATCATGGAAGTATTGATCATCTTCCTATGCCTGTTCCCAGCCAGCATGAATCTGGGCAATGCGATATTTGTTTCTCAACCTGTTTTTATTCTCATGAATGTGTACAGCTATGGAGTGGACTTGTCTTTTCCTTCTTAAATAAGTCTATAGCAGCACACTTATAATGCTATTTAAGTGATACCTGTATGGAATTTCCCCCTCCAAATATAGTCAACTCTTTGTTTTGGGCAGCAAAGTTAATTTTTTTTATAGTTACTTTATTTCCCTGGAAGACGCATTTCAAAAACTTATTTATTTCTTTCCATTAACCATCCAGCAGACTTACCCTACAGTTTAATCAGAGTAGTCTTAGAGAAGAAAAACTAATTAAATTATTAGCCTAAAGCCACCATGCCTTGGAAGGCAATTCTTATTTTTTGTAAAATCATATATTGCATTCTAAAATCAGGAAAGTTAGTTTTTGGAATAAAAAATAATAAAATTCTATAATTTGTTGTCATTACGTTCATCTTTTCCATTAGGAATGCTAAACAAGAGGTGACTATTAAACAGGAGCTTTTTATTTGTGACGGCCAATGCTCTTTCTGCCTTTTAGCCTAAAATGTATCAACTTTTCACTAGTTTAATTATCTGTAATATTTCTAGATATTGTGTCTGCTTGTGATTTTATAGTGAATGAAAGTATTGTGTTGTTATCAAGTGAAATAAAAAAATATATATATCATCATCAACCATGATTTTCCTGTAGTTTCTCCCCGTGCGCTTTTCTTAGTTATCATGCGATGGTTTTTTGAGTGAGCACTGAATAGACTCTGATTCCATGATCCTATGAACTGTGAGAACAGTGCTAATTCGTGCTCTTATTGCCTACAAACTTCTCCTCTCCACCATAAAGAGGTTTAACTGATTTCTATCTTCTTCCTATAAGTCTGCTCTGGTAAAACCATTAGTACTTCTTAGCATCTGAGTGCCAAGACTGGAAATCGGAGGACCCATTTGTGCCTGTTACATAAACTAAGACTAAACCTCCGAACAGGAGTAATGTCTGCACATGAAGAATGAACCAGGAGAGGAACCTATGAGCCCCAGCCACGTTCAGATTGGTGGCTAATTCATTGAACTGATTGGTAGCCTGCCCAGCTGATGGCTTCTCCAAAAACTGGTAGTAAGCCCGACAAGGTGACACCTGTGCTTTGCGTTTCTTTTCTGTTTTCTACATACTTTTAATGTGCACATTGTCATAAAAGGATAAAGATGTGATTTTTGTAAAATCAAACAATTTCCTTAACTAAAGTAAAAAAGAAGGGCAGATTTACAGCAAAGCTTTTGCCTAATGAGTACACATTTAAAAAATAATTTCTTAGGGTCAGCCTAGTGGTGCCGCGGTTAGGTTTGCACGTTGGTGGCCCGGGGTTCGCCGGTTCGGATCCCAGGTGCGGACACAGCACCGCTTGGCAAGCCATGCTGTGGCAGGCGTCCACATATAAAGTAGAGGAAGATGGGCACAGATGTTAGCTCGGGGCCAGGTTTCCTCAGCAAAAAGAGGAGGATTGACAGCAGATGTTAGCTTAACGCTGATCTTCCAAAAAAAAAATCATTAAAAAATAATTTCTTAAATCAAAGACACTAAAACATGGCAATGTGGCGGACACCACAGCTAGCCCTCACATATGAAATAATTTCCATGCTCCTGGTGGAAAAGAATGCTAAAGAATTTGTGAGACGGCTGGAAAACTATACATATAAGACCTGTTTTTTGAAAAATATGATACATTTTGGAATGTATCCATGAAGAATGAGTCCAGGTCTCCTTTCTAGAGTGTAAGGTGAGAATATCGCATTCAAATCATTCATTTTACGGTTGATGAAACCGAAGCCCAGAGTGGGGAAGAGGTGTCCGAGATCTCATGCTGGTCACCGTGAGAGCCAGCGTTAGCCCCCTGGCCTCCCGATGCTCAGTCCCTGGACCTCTACCACAGCATTCATGGTGCAGGGAGCATCAATCTTGGAAAAGGAAGGGTCATTTCCAAGAATCCTTGAGGTGACTGTTCACCTCCAGTCTGGCCTTCTCTGGAGACACATAAGGAGTTTAGCGGAGGCGTTCCTGATTCCTTTGCAAGCCAGGTTTAGGTCATGCTACCCCTGGGAACTCGCAGCACAGACATGGAGACCAGGAGGTTTGAGGGAAGAACTGCTGAAAAATGTTCACAGCTGCTCTTTCTTTACCTTGACTAGTTGGGGGTCCCCAGGAAGAAAAAAGGAAGATACCAGGCCCTTGTCCATGAGGACAGCTGCCAAGCCCTAGGAAAGCAGGAGAGGGTGATAAAGAAGCCATGTTTGGGGGCCAGCCTGGTGGCATAGTGGTTAAGTGGTTAAGTTCGCATGCTCCACTTTGGTAGCCTGGGGTTCACAGCTTTGGATCCTGGGTGCAGACCTACATACTGCTCATCAAACCATGCTGTGGTGGCATCCCACATACAAAATAGAGGAAGATTGGCATGGATGTTAGCTCAGGGTGAATCTTCCTCAAGCAAAAAGAGGAAGATTGGCAACAGATGTTAGCTCAGGGCCAATCTTCCTGACCAAAAAAAAAAGAAGAAGAAGAAGAAGCCAGGCTTGGCTGGCTCTCCAGACCGGAGGGCAGGCCTGTCTGTTCAGAGTTCAGTGGCATCAGAAGGCTACCTCGTGCTGCTGCCAGTGAGGATAAGAGAGGTAGGGGTGGCTTTCGGATGAGGTGGGACTTGAACTGGACAGTGGAGTGTAGAGAGCAAGAAGGTGAACAGTCCACATGGAAGAGAAACATTCCTTTAATCTGCTCCTGGAAACTGAAATTGACTTTTCCTCGGGGAAAAGACTTCTCACACAATGATGGGATTGTCGTAGCTGGAAGAGGTAGCCAAAACCGGAAAAACACACAGAGACATAAATAATATTAGAGCCTTATCTGAGAGTAGGTCTTGGCAGGCGCAGAGGGAGGAGAGAAGGAAGCAGGTCCAGCCTTCGGAAGCAGGTCTGCATGATGGAGCGAGGGAGGCATCTCATAATGAAGGGAAAAAATGAGAGAAAGGACGGAGAGGAGGAAGTTGTTGAAAACAAGTCTGGCTGATTTGAATACTAACAGTGGGCAGCATCTGCCATGTGTCGGGGGCTGAGCTGAGGACATTACAGGGATCATCTCCGTCAGTCCTCACAACAGCCCGCCAAGGCAGGGGCGAGGATCACTCTCATTTTACAGGTGAGGAGATCGAGTCTCAACTCGCAGAGGTTGCTCCAGGTCACACAAGGAGTGAATGAACGTTGTGGAGGAGCGCTGAGATTGGAACCCAAGCAGTTTGACTCCACACTCGTGCTTTTGATCACGCTGTGCTGCAGACTTGACATGATTTTCCTGGACTTTCCTCATGCTTTCTAGAATACCAAATAGATGCCTCTCTCCTTAAATCTAATCACTGACTGATAATTCATCTCCTAAGTTACCCGGATTTTTCTCAAAAACTGAGAATAGCACACTCCCACCTTTATTTTTCCTGCTATGAGAAGGTTTATCACCCTCAACAGCTGGCCCCAATGCAGGGATCCTGAACCTGTGAGCATCATGGGCACTTGGCATCTGGCGAAGTTGATAGCCCCTTCTCAAAATAACGTTTCCAAATTTATTAAATAAAATACATAGGAATACCAAATAAATCAATTACATTGAAATGCAGTTATCAAAATATTTTTAATGTTTATGGTGCAATTGTATAAATCTTTATATTAAATCTTTATTTAATTCCTTAGATAACAAGATTTAGCATCAAGGCTAATAACTACCATAATTTGGAAGTAGTGATGAGTGAGAATGAAGTTTTCAGATCTTTCCCCAAACTGCAGTATGACATAAAATATCTGTGGTTTCTCTCGGGGGAAGTTTCAGGGACTGCTAATACTGGAGTGATCTGTTGCCTACAGCATAATGGAGGGAATGCTTAAATTTAGTTACAGGTCAGTGAGAAAAACAATGAATTTTTTTCCATCCATGTTCATGGCCGCTGAACTGATTAAGAAGCCCTGCCTGAGAGGGGGGGTGCAGGCAAGCACACCCTGCAGTGGCACTGGCAGAAATGCAAATGGCAGGAAGGAAGGCGCACATGCATTAAATGGAATGAAATCAATAGATGGTCATGGGCATTCTTCTTGGACAGACAACTCAGTAGGCTCTGTGGTTCCCTGACTCTGTGCCTTGTGCCTTCTCAGTGGCCCCATCCTCATTCGTGTGGCAAAGCTTCATCCAAGCAGCCAGAGAAGGTCTCTCTTTATAACCTGGAGACTCAGGACTCTTTCACGCAATTATTTAACACACATTGCTTGTCCTAGGCTATGATGTTCCAAAATTGAATAAGACACAACTCCAGCCCTTGTCCCTTAATGACTGGTTTTAAGGAGACAGGGCATTTTGGTTGCTGGGAAGCACAAGGAAGGATCTTATAAAAAAAGCATTGCAGACTGACTTATCAAGTTGACTGTCTCGCTCTCTTTTCATTTGTTACTTTCTGTTGTTATGTTAATTGTTTTGTTTCTGTTTTCCTCATTTTAATTTTGTTGGCCTTTTCATATTTTCTTGAGTTGAATACTCACTTCTTTTATTTTTAATCTTTCTTGTGTCTCATCAGTGATTAAAGGAATGAGTTTCCTTTGAGCAGAGCTTTACTCTTGGTAGGATGTGTAGAATATCTTTAGCTTTGAAATATCTCTTTTTATTTCATTCTGTTTGATATATGTATCTCTTGGTTCATCGTTTTGATATTCTCTTTATGTGTTTAAGATTTCCAGCATTTGTTATATTTATTTCCTTTTGTTTCCCATGGAATTTATTTCTTCCAGAGTAGATTATTCATTTTTCTTTTGCAGGCTCTATTCTTTTCCTCCCCCCTTCCTTCCTCCCTTCCTTCCTTTCTTCCTCCCTTCCTTCCTTCCTTCCCCTCTCTCTCTCTTTCCTTTTTGCATAATTGCAAAGTTTTCCTGTTGCTTCTTTTCATTTTACTCACCTTGAACAATACACTGGGTATCAGAGCCAGTTCTGTCCAAGGTGAGTATCTATATACATATCTCTGTCTGTCTATCTATCTATCTATGTCTATCTATATCTTACTGTTGTTTATTTCATCAGATTTTATGATCCTATATCACCTCCACCATATTTCCCCAGAAGCCCATCATGTGTTATGCAGAAGAGTGCTATAAGAAGATCAATATGTTGGATGGATTAGTGGCCAGAAGGACTGGAAGCAGAAAGACCAATTAAATGGGAGTGAAAATACAAAGGAAGAGATGAATGGAGCAAAGGTTTTAAAGTGTTCCTGGAGTTGAGGAAGGAGGAGCAGGAAGGGATGATGCTGATGCCTGTGGCTGAGTGATTGGAAATTCAGAAGCAGGAACTGATTTAGGCGGTAGATAAGAAGTGTATTGTTAGATATGTTGATTTTGAGGTACTGATAAAATATTTAGATACGTTCAGCAAGTAGTTAGAAATATCGATGAAGAATTTAGGAGAAAATTGGAAGTTAGAAAGATGTGGCTACCACCCATGTTGAACTATCACAAAGGATCAGATTGTTAAACTAGACTCACAAATTAGAGCTCTTATTCAGTATGAAGCTTTACTAATAATCTCATGTTTCAAGAAATCAAGAGGCTCAGATGGAGCAGGGGCTGTCTAGGACAATTCAGTGGCCATACAGGTCCTCCCTTT